GCTGCAAAAACATGCAGCGTCAAATACAGGACGTGGGCCTACTACTACTACTACTACTACTACTACTACTACTACTACTCTTACTACTTACTACTTACTACTACTACTACTACTACTACTACTACTACTACTACTACTACTACTGCCAGTACTATTACCACTACTACTACTACTACTACCACCACCACTACCACCACCACTACCACTACTACGACTACGGCTACGACTACGACTACGACTACGACGACGACGACGACGACGACTACTACTACTTGGATGTTACTCCATCGTCATATAATCGGTGCTGTTGTCGATAGTCGTCATTGGCGTCCTTTTGCTCTTAATGGTCGCAATCGTTCCTCACAGGGCCACTACCGGTCTCGTGGTTGCCAACAGCAACATCCAAATCCTCATCATTATCATCATCATCATCAAAACATAGCAAAACCAACACTATCACCCTCGTAGAGGCGGTCGTGATCCATTCTTATCTCCCAAAACCCTAAACCCTAAACGCTAAAATGCCCTGCCACTATGCCTTAGGTCATGGCTCGCCCATCAAGATGTAGCGCTGCATCCTCGGAGGCTGTTAGCTGACGGGCTTCAGGAATCAGGAGACGCAGTATGTAGGGCTTTAAGAAGTACGGCAACGGGGCTGTAAGTAGATATAACCACAGTTATTTAATTGATAAGTCTCCTTAGAATTCAACTGCTGCTTGAAGCTCAAGAGCAGTTCAGGAAGTCCTAGGGTTTTGAGGCCGGCAGGCTCTGCTTCCGTGAACCCCGTGGCCGCAAAGCTTCGGTTCAGCTGGGCGAACACGGAGGGCGTGTGGTTCCGAGGTAAAAAGTGGTGTTGCCAAGGGGACGCTTCCTGTGAAGACTTCACCTGGTACTGGGAGGAACCTGTGTCTAAAAGGCTTCCTGGCACTGCTGAGGCTGCCGCAGCTTCAGATGGCGAGGAAGATTCAGCTCGAAGACCTAAACCCGCGAGACTCCCGGGAAGATTCGAACCTTTGATCCTCGATTAGAGCCTAGACCAGGAGCATCGCGCCACTGAGCCCTCTGCGAACTTCGTGACCACAGCCTTCTCCACCCTGGCCGAGCAGCGCCGAAGTCTCTGCAATGCTGTGCCCCCGTAGAGCATTGCCAATGTGTCCTATCTCTGTGGCTGAAATGGCTGAAGACCTGAGGCCCGCTGCCAATGCGACTGAATGCGGAGTGGTCGGATGAGGCAATTCCTGAAGGCAACGTCGCTTCGGGGATATTCGCCAGGGTTCTCCTTTGGCAGAAGCCGAAGGAAAGGAGACTTGATCACCCCGAAACCGCAAATGCACACTGACAACGCCATACACTTTACACTTTACACCCCTTCATGGCACCATCATACGCATGGACGAAACTTCCAATGAGTCCGATGACAAGAGCTGACCTCAAGGCCAGGTGCCAGAAGAACTGGGGCCGGGGCTCCAAACTAACTTCCAGCGGCACCGCCCCGCCCTTCCAGATCATTTCTGCATCCTGGCACTTGGTGGGTCATGGTTGGTCTTGTTGCTACTATGGGTGAATAGTCTTTTCACGTGAACGGTGTTGGTCTGGTGGCCATAAGATGCTCTGCACTGTCCTTGCTCTTCTTGCTGTTCGTGCTGGCACTACTAGTCCGAGGCGCAGCAGTGCTTCAACTAGTAGTTCTTGTAGTCTTCATCTCGCTGCCATCTCTGTCACGATGCTGCCTTCGGACCACGAGCCCAGTTCAATCGGCCTCGGTCATGTCCATCGACTCGGCCTCGGTGTAGAGCGGCGGCCGCTCCTGCAAAGAGCCCAAAACGGCTGCTTGAAATCAGGGCTGAGACTGCTGAGGCTGCGGCGAAAGCTTCCGGCTTCGCAGTGGCGGCGACGTTGCCGTCGGCAGAAACAAGCGGCGACGACGGAGCAGGGTTTTGGACCTCGATAGGCCTCAAAGGCGAAGTTGGTGCTGTCGCCTCAACGTCCAGGGGCACTTCGAGCATCGTGCGCACTGCGCTCGCTGCGCCCGTGCTCGGAGCTTCGGCGACAGGTGCCTGGTGCACACCTGCACGGGCGTAAAGTCCTTGAAGCACCGTTCGCACGAGGCCCTTCAGCCCGTGTGCCACTTCCTGCGGAGCTTCTTGCTCTGAACCCAGCTCCACAGGGCCCTCTGCAGGGCTGCAAGCAAGTGCCGTAGCGGCCAAGAAGCCTGGCTGCTCGGGCCGATTGTGATCGCTGGATGCAGGCGTGCCCCGGAGGCGGTGCAGCTTCCACTTCAGCAATTGCTGCTCCTGGGCCGCCTGCTGCATCCGCTGGCGATGCCCTTCGGCGAGCGCTTCTCTTGCATCTTGCAGAGTACGTGGAGAGGGTGGCTGCAAAACAGCTAAGGCTGTCTCCTCCTCACGTCTGCCCTCATTGCGCAGAAGCTCTGCTCGTTCTGCCACCTGCGCATCCAGAGCGGCCTTGTACTCTTGCTGTTTTTGCTGCTTCTGTCTAGCATCCTCCAAGTTAGCAGCAGCAGTGGTTGTAGCGGGAAGAGCTTGTGGCGTGGAGGGACGATGGCTTTGAGCTTGAAGTCCCCGAAGTCGTTCCGACGTCCGCCTAAACACTAGCTGATCCGTAAGCTCTTTAGCAGCTTCTGGGTCAGGTGGCCTGGAGCCGCCGTGTGCGGATACGAGCAGGCGGCAGCCGGAGTTCCTCATCGGGTTGGTTTCTTCATTCTCATCCACATCAAGATCTGATCTCGTGGACGCAAAGGCTCGTGCTTCGCGGCCGAAGCTGTCAAAACACCTGCCGGAAGAATAGACAGGGTACGAGGCCTCGTCACCTGGCTCGCTGCAATCCAGGATCCGCAACTTGTGGGGCAGCGAGGAAAGTGGGGCGTGGATGGAACTCAAGAAATCCGGGAATGTGGAGCCGCGGCTGGGGGCGTCGCTCTCCTCACCTCGCATCCGCACGGTGAGGCTTTGAAACAGTGGCTGCAGCGAGCGTTGCAGGATCCACAAGGGCACCAGGTCCATGGGATGTGCCGGCTCCAGTGATCCCCGCGGGCGGCTGCATGCCTGCCACCGCAGCGCGGACAGTTCGTGGGCACGGACAAAGCCCAGCAAGCCGTCCAAGAGCTGTCCTTGAGACAGGGCCGACAGGGCCTGCGCCACTGGCTGCTTCGACTGCTTCTGGCAGCCGTGGAGAGCCAGCACTTCTTGCAGCTGCCGCAGCCACGGCTGCAGCCCTACCCAGAACTGCAGGAAGCTGCGGCCTTCTCGCAGAGCAGCGGCTACCTTTCCGTCCAGGATATTCAGCAGATCTCGGTTTACACTCCCCAATGCCTGTGCAGTCAGGCTCGCACTGCGGCCGAGGGAACCGGATAACTGCTTCAGTCGCATGCAGCTGCTGCAGATATCCGCCCATGCTCCCAGTAGTGATTGCTGTGAACCCTTCGCGATGCACTGCACAAGCATGTCACGGACCTTGAAGCAGGAAGATGAGATTCCGTGAAGTGCGAGCCAGGCAAAGCGAAGCATTAGCGAACCCGCAGCTTGCGAAGACGTTGAAGCGCCGATGTGACCCCAAGATTCGCGAGAGTCCACTGCCGAGACTGTGCTCTCCCACAAACGCTGCCACTTTTCCTGCCGACTGCTTCCATGGGCAGCATCTTCATGGACGGAGCCTATCATGGACTTCATCGCTGGTTGCGCCCGTGCTGCTTCCATGCAGGGAGGCTCGCTGTCCGGCTCTGGATGGTCCGCCAACTCACACCTCGGATTATCGAAGAAACCCGACACCTTCTCGGAAGCCTTTACTGGAGCCTTCACTTCCACTTCCGACTGTGCCTCGCATTCCTGCATGTTCTTTACAACCTGCGGTCTGAGCCAGTGCCATGGATCTGGATCTGTGAGAGGCTGCTGCTTGGGCTCGCTGGGCCAAGCGGACAGACTCCCGCTGTTCTTAAGGTGTCGCTGCAGCTCCGCCTCCGTTTGTCTTCCAGAACTTCTGCGCAGGAAGCTGCCGGCAGCTCTCGTGCTTGGCATGCAGCCAGTCTCATACAGTGCCTGCCTAGACACCGTGCCGAGTCCGGAATCCGAGGCCATAGTCTGGCTAAGCAAGAACAAGACCTTCAGAACGGGCTCGTGGTCGCAGTTGCAGGACTGTGCGAGCCCCAGCCTTGCGACAAGCAGTTCCAGTGAAATCGCCGCTGCGGTGCGGCCGGCACTCCGAAGATTCCAGAGCAGCACCAGCAGGGTCTCGGCAGCTGGGTATGTCGTTGCAGTTCCGTCCTTCGTGCGTTTTAAGAGGTGCTCCCATGCTGGACGCGCATCAGAAGCTCCCACCGAAACAGCCAACGAATTCACGCAGGCGAGAACTGAACCTTTGGCACCATGTGGCATCTGGAACCATAGAAAGGTCCACAACAGATGATTTCAGCTAAGGCCAAATCGAGAGAAGCACGTTCACGATTGGCTTGCCTCGTCAACAGAAGAACTATGCATGACGACAAGCAACAACAAACCTTCCGTTTGTGACCAAAAGTCAGCTAACTCAGTTGCCAAGGGGCGGTCCTTCTGTTGCAGGTGCTGGTTCCCAACCGCGCTGCGACACCACAGCGCATGAGAGCAGACAGAGTTCCTAAAGTATGAGGCTAGGTGATGCGGAGAAAATTGCAATGTACTGTAATTAGTGTTGGTGCTTTTTGTGATCTTCTTGCACATCGAACGCGCAAACTGAGATCAAGCTACGGTCAAACCAAGGCTGGGCCAAAGCTTTGTTCTGAAGGTTTCGGCTCAAAGCTCAGAGCTGTGCCTGCATGAGGTATGGGCGGGATTGAATTTCGGTGGATCCATTCGGCTTTTCGAGCTTGCTTTAAGATTTTCCCCGTCGCTGCATAGGCGGGCACCAGCTAGAGCTCCTCCACGGCTCTTTCCTGCAGCACCTTCGGCTGACTGGCTCGGACGAAATGCGCCACTGCTGGGTCGACTTTTCTGTTGGACAGGGTACCTTGCCAGGCATCTTCAAAGTCCTGCCAATTTAACCGGTACGGAAAATCGTCATCATCGTCGCGGTCGCAGTTGTGTGATACCAGTGACAAGATCTCCGTTTTATTGAGGACGAAGAAAGGAGCATGTGTCACAGCCATCGTTGATTCCATCTTGAGCTTACATACCCGATGACGGCCATCCAACATTCTGTAGCGTGCTCCACAAGGATTAAGGGCGCCGTCCGCCGCAATGCCAGGCAACAGCGGACAAGCTGCGTTCCAGCGATCTTCGTGCATTGTCTCGAACTCCGGGTCATGGCAATATGAAGCAGTCGCGTCCTCCAAACCTCTATATTCGCCTTGGTGCATGGGCTTGTGGCACAGTTCTGCCAGGGGCAGGATGGCCGGCTCACGTGGAGACCGCACCAAGAGTTCAACGATATCGTGGATCCTGACACAACTTTCATCGGATTCCACGTCAGAAGAACCAAGCTGCCATGGTTTCTTGACGGAGTGGAAGCTGCTCAGCCACCGCTCAAAGTCCGGAGTAGTTTTGCACCCGGGCCATTTCTGAAGATCCTCCTCAACGGGTTCCCGGACACTGAAACGAGGCTGTGCCCAAGCGAGACGTGTCGGACCGAGACCCAAACAAACGATCGCAAGCCATGGCACGGAGTTTGAAAAGAGCTTCATCTTTAAAACCCTCAGCTGGAAAGCAACCCTGAACGAGCCAGCCAGCCTAAGGCTGGGGAACTGTTGTTGCGTTATAAAGCTACTCTGATGTTTTCTTCACAGCTGATGATCGCGCTTTCCAGCAGGAAGTTACTCGGGACCCGGCTTCGATGACTGTAATCATCATCGCAAGCGACAGTCAAACGAACGTTATCACGAACAAGCCTCAGTGCCGGTTGCAACAGGAGCCGAGAAGGCTGCATGGCAAAAACAGTTGTGACTTGTTGGTAGGAATGCTTGCACATTCCTTGCAGGCATTCATGAACGCGGCTGCTCTTTTTTCACCCCCGAGCACCCAAAATGCCTGCGTCTGGGTTTGAACCCCGGAATATCCTTCTCCAACCCCCCAAATTTATGAACACTCATCTTCTCTCGCCTCGGCTCGATCGGAAAACGTCCAAGCCGTTCGATCAATTCGAAAATCAATGCTACAACGAATTCCTGCTCATCAGTCATTTATCCTGTGGCCACGTCTCAGTGACGACCTGAAAACAAACTCGTAACACCTTATTCTCTTTACACTGGGAAGCTTGCAGCACTTACTTTTCACGGCGGCGATCTTGAATATTGCGATCTCATTGCATCCCTGCGACTTGACTTCACGAAACTATGTGTCGGGCAAAATGTGCACCTGAGCTGCCCCGTTCAACCGGGTCTAACTCTGGCACTCCAGATGAAAACAATCAGGTCAATGAGAAACCGTGCCAAAAAATTGTTGGGAAGATTGAAAGTTGATGAGGATGGCCCGACCAAAACATTTGAAAGCCATGCTGCAAATTAAAAACGTTCTACGTGCCGTTGATATGTGTTAAACAGCTTCAAAATAAAGAACCCAGGTCCATATTCTGTTTTATCTCTAAATCCTGTCTTAGGGTGGCCATGGCCAGGGTTTGCTTTGGGTTCGAGTCGGAGAGAGAAGGCTGAGGGTTCGGGTTCTAAGTTGACACTGAGAGGTTCTCTTGGTTGGACTGGCAGCACAACATTTAGGAGGAGATCACTTGGAGACGACCTCACCATCCCGATTCTGATTTGCACTCGTCCAAAGTGGGTCGGATTTGCTTCGACCGATCGAAGATGTCCGAGCCCAAAAGGCTGATTCCCAAATCTGTGCGATTGAAAGACGACGTTTCGGCGACGGAAAAAAAAAGATGCAGCTTACTTCCACTACCCAGCGCTGAGTTCTTCAAAAATTTTCGCTCTTAGCCCCGAAAGTATTTCCTTAATCTCGAAAGAGGCACTCAGCGTTCGAGCTCTCTGGGAAGGGTGTTGTCAACTCCCACTCTGTGTGATAGCTACAGGCCTTGTTTCAAGACCTAGGTCAGAATTCTGTCATTTGAGGGTCTGCCGATTTTGAGGGCTGGAGGCCGTAGGGCCAATCGTAGGGGCTCTAAAGTGCTTGCAAAACGCCCGCGAGTTGCTTCAAAGGCCCTGAGGACCCGCGCGGAGCTCACGAGCCATTTGGGAGTGCTGCGCCGCACTGAGC